ACATGTTAATGATGTGTTTATAAAGTTGTATTTAATAGTAGCAGTATTTATAAAGTGGAAAATGCACACTGTGTGAAATCAGCGATTTTGATTCTATTTCTATTCTTATGTTTCCTTTTTATGTAAAAATTCACCTCCTCATCTCTTTTCGTTTTACTTGTACACCTCCTCAGTTTATTTTTGCTTGCTGTTTTTTATTCCTATAACTTGTTAGGTCTCCTAAACATCTTTTGGGTAGATCTACCAATTTAGGAAATTATAGAAAGAAAAAAACACACTGCTCTTTCAAGTGGTGATCTATGAAGTCAAATCATACCTGGTGGTGGCTAGCTTTATACTGCCTATCTTCATAAGATGCTCTCTTCTACAAGGTATCACTGAGTATGGTAGGAGAAGCTTGGTACCCATGCTGCCCATTTATACTGCACATCAAATTTAATAGTAACATTCCGGCTTTAATTGAACTCTTCCTCTTATAAATCTGAGCAAGGTGATCTGATTAACAGAGGAAATAAGCACCCAACAGTGTTAGTGTAAAGATACTGAAACGGATGAAACAATGTAAAATAATCTGGAATCTGCAGTGATGGGGGACACAGCGCCCTCTGTGTGTGTGTCTAGTTTACATTTATGCATGTGTGCTCAGACCATTCTTTTTTTTAGTGGGTTTTCTGTGTTGGAAGAGTTAAAAATTTCCTGGATAGTACAGTCTTGAACAACTAGATCCTGGCTGTTTCTGGTCCCCTCTGACCCAATCATTTTGGCTTAAAGAGCTTTAGTCCATTTTACTTTTGTAGTAATGAAGATGCACCAGCTTTTTGAATGGTTATTTGTACGAATTTTCCCCTCTTATCTTCCTACTTTGTGAGTGATGGGGTTACGAAGACTGTATACACTTGGCTCTGCAGTTAATTAGGGAGAACCTGAAGATTCTCATATGACTGCTTTGAAAAAGGGAGCATTCCTTAGGAATAGGACTTTTAAAATGTAGGCCAGTTAATCTTCATAAGAGGAAAGCTCAAACAAAAATATTACTGTTGAGATCCAGGCAAGTGCCTCAACCTCATCTATCTTCAAAGCAAAATAAAAATCCCATTGGAGAACAAAAAGAGAAATAAAGAAATAAAAAGAAAAAAAAGCAAACAAAACCGAAGCCCCACATTTCTATATTTTTTCTCTACTTTTACTGGAACAGTGTCACAACTAGGTGCTTGTTCTCTCTCTCTGTGTGTGTGTGAGTTTTACTTTTTTCTTTTAGCAGTTTCCCTATTAGCATGATGTTCTTGAGATTTTGTATTCAGAAAAAAAATTTATACCAGAGAAGGTTTGATTATCAATATTTTCACCTTTTTGTGAAGCAAATAAGGTAAGTTCAGTAGACACTAGCTAGGCTGAAACACTATTAAAAAAATGCAATTCAGACTGAGTCACTGTTCGTTATTTTTAGAAGCAAGACCCTAATTCTGATCAACCCCAAAGAATGGGCTGCCATGACTAAGCAAGCAGCATAAGGCAACTGGCTTCTGCTGGATGTTATCTCATTTGGAACACATTTCAGACTTTAGAACAGATTTTTAAATTGGAAGTTGAAACCTGCAGACTGTCACCAGAAGAGGGTGATTCACCCCTAGAGAACTTACTTTAAGTCCCAGGCAGAGTTTTTTAAGGAGTAAGTTACCTAAAATCTGTTGTGATACATCAAAGAGAGAAATAAAAACACCTCACAGAATAAGGGTGATACATGCATCCAAACAAAACTTGGACTTTTAATATATGCTTATTTGAACGGGGGATTTCTTTAATTTAGAAGCCTTTAGTTCAATATGCTTGTGAATGCTTATGGATCTCTGAAAGGCTAATTAAATTTTTTTCCCAGCAAGTATTTCTTTAGTGGGGAGGGGTTCTTTGCATGGAACTTTTTGAGTCATAACTATAATAATTATTGGATAAATTTGAAGGAGGGAAGTACAGTCTTGGCAAGGTCAGAAATAAGGAAAATCTTGTATTGATGGTGGTGAATTCTTTATTAATTGGCTAATGCTTTCATTTGGAATTGTAGGAAAGTTACCAAAAGTCTAGATAGCGAGAAAACTGTGCAAATGCTCCTGAGTTCCTTAAGTTAGAGGAACCGTACACATGATAGCAAAAATAATGATTTTAACCTGGCAGAAATGTCAAGCTAGTACTTGGAGGACATTAACTCATCTATGAAGAAAAAGCTGTTATGCATGTATTATCTTAGCTAACAAAATCCATGATGCAACTGAACTACAGGGAAAAATGCATGGAGTGACCCACTAGAGGTCCCTTCCAACTAAAAAAAAGTTTCCACAGTTCAAAGGATGCAGCCTTAGTAAGTTGGCATTCATGACTGCAAAGCAAGTAAGGGCCACAAGGGGGGACCACACGTTTCACCTCCTTAGGAAGAGACATGGTTTTATTCAGAATATTTATCACATTTTATTTCTTTTTAACATCCCTATTAGGGACACTAACTCAGTTAGATTTAATTAGATGTTCAGAACTTGTTCCAACTTATTGATACATTTGCCATACAGAAGTGTTTTTTTTTTTTTTTGATGTCCTGGAACTGTAGCTTTCTAGAAATTTTTGCTGTTTCAAGTTTCTCAGAGTAGTATTTTGCGAGATAGACTTTTTTCTTAAAAAATGAAGAGTGCTTTAAAGTGAGTTTTTACTTGCAAAGCTGATGGAAGTGGTGGGTGGAGGAGGTAAGGTGCACATTTTCTGATAGTAGGCAACTTGGTAGAAAATGATTTTGTTTCTATACATTATCTTTGCAAAGTTAGCATTAAGAAATGTAATTGCAATAAATTGATGTGAAAGCCAGATAATAAAGGGACTAAAAGTCCCTATAGAGAATCCAGTCTGTCACTTATAATGGCAGTAAAAGATAATTTTAGACAAGTACAGTAGAACTAAACCATTGCCATTTTCCTTCAAAAATGTGCTGCTGCCTCTCATGTTTTTCTGAAGAAATTGGTTACTTCCTCTGCTTCAAAAGTATGCCATGAACCATCAAAATAGGTAGAAAGAGATATGCCTTTTATTTCCCCCCAGTACCTTTTTATTAGAACATACCAAAGAACAAAAGGGGGTGAGATACAATCCTGTGCAATTGTATTTTCCAGTAAATTGTCAGATTTCTTTTAAGTTTCTGAGCTCTGCATTGAAAATCTGGCCTCTGGCATAAACTTTGCCCTCTTCCTTTTGACATAATGAAGACATCTGCTTGATCATATCCCCTTTCTTCACACAACTTATTTTCCAGATCTCTAAAATAGCAAACACAGAGCCATGCAAGTGCTATTACACAAAGGATGACACTAAAGCTAAACTGGAAGAAATTTATTTTCCTCCTAAAGTAGAATCCTAAAGGCTTTCCTTTTCAGGTAAAGGTGGCAGCCAGAGAAAAAAAGGAGATAAGCAATCCTTGGCTACCATTTGTATAAGCCTATTTGTTATTCATTCTTAGGAGAGTTGTACATTTTCTAGGTGCATCTCTGTGTGCCTCTAACGACACAGAGAAGAGTTTTTTATCCCCCTGGATAATAAACAATCACAAAGCCCATATTTTTGTGTGTGTACCCCTCCGGAGCAGCCATACGAGTACACACCAGCCACTCCTGCAATATTCTTGAAGGAAAAAAAAATCTCTGCTGCACACATTATGTGCTTCAGTAAGTGAAAGTGAAGATTGGTGGAGAGACAGGATGATATACTTCTATAGTGTGAATATTATCATTAAAATGGCTTTACCAAAAAAACAAAAACAAAAATAAAAGAGGGAGAGAGAAATGTGTGGCTATTCCAGATGATTAAACTTCTTGGTACTTGAATTTTCTCAGTAGTTAACTCAGGTGAACAGCCCTTTGCACTAACAAGGACCTGCATATAACTCCCCATGAAATATGGATTTTATTGCAGCTGTGAAAACACTTCTCAGCACCATGCTGACCTCTCCAGCATCCTCCATCTCAAGATCTTCGATAACTCTTGGCAGAAGAATATCTAACTACAGAAGAAGTAATCCCTGCTCTGCAACTGCTGCAGTACACAACACAGCAACGTCCCCCCTTACTAAATGCTGGGAATAACGCACTGGGGGGCTCCCCTTTTCCTGCATCGGACACCTACGACCAGGCACACTTGATCTGCTCTCCAGCCAGTCTGGGGGAGGCGTTATCCCCCAGATTTGTGCCTGGCCAGCCGTGGAAGATCACCAGCGAGCTGCGTCTTCCACATGACTTTTCCCTGGACAGTGTGCTCCATTTTCGGAGTCCAGTGTTGGACTTTCCTTGCAACCCAAGCATTTCTTTACCCCTGTGAGCCGGCAGGCATTTCCCCGAACGTGCAAGCTAACAGTTTTCTTTGGCTCCTTCTCTGAGCCAAATCATCTATTTAGCTTAAGTTTTCCTTACTGGGAGCTTTCAGGAGTTCTCAAGCTACCTGATTTTCTGCTTTACCCCCTAAAGGCAAGAAATGTAACTCAGCCAAAGCAGTCCCCGCACAGACCCTTGTGATGTGGGCAGGTGGAAATAAATCAAGCCCCAAACGGCTCCGCGGGTCCTGCACGCACCAGCGCTCTTGGTAATTGACCAGCCAACTTTGCAAATGCCGGAGCTCCCCCGGCAGCCTCTGCCGGGGGAGAGAAAAGCAGCGAGTTCTTCCCGGCGGCCCGTTACTTAAGCTCCCACCCAGCCCCACGGCGGATCGGTCTTACCAGAAGGCGGAGGAGCGGCGCCCAGGCTCCCCGGGAACCGGCGCCGGTCCTGGGCAGCGGCAGCAGCGCCGCCCGCGCAGCCGGACCCGCGCGCCTGCCCCGAGCCCGGGTGAGCTGAGCATCCCTCCCAACTCCGGCGTGCGGCACCCATCGGGCAGAGGGGGCTCTCTCTCTGATTGGCTTCCATCAACGCTACAGAATTAAAAAAAAAGGAAAGGCATGCACAACCACCACCGCCGCCAACAGAGATCGAACCCACCTCGGCTCGCCTTCCTGCGCCCGGGGAGACCCTGCGACCCGCCCAGGTTGCTCTTGCCTCGGCTTCTGCGGCCGCGGGCTCTGCGGTTCGTCCTGCCGCGGCTGAAACTGCAGCTCTCGGGATGGGAAGGTTACGGGCTCGGGAGAGCTGGCTCTTGTGGGCACACACTGATTTGCAAGTGAATGAAGTGGGAGGGAGCAAAGAGAGGAGGACTTTGTTAGAGAGGCCCAGTGCCTGCCCCCGCCCGCCCCCTCCCCTTGACAGAATGACTCCCTGTGTTTGAAGTCCTGAGCAATTCGCTCCCGGTAACACTCCCTCCGCCCCAGGCTTTCCTTTCTTATTTTGGGGGGTTAAAACATACTCAGAACTTGTGTGACTCCGTCTGTTTCCTTCTTTATACTGTCAAAATGCACCTTGCGCTATTATCGGCAACAGTCGGATGTTCTTTTTTTCTTTTTTACCGACCGACCGAGCAATTACAATTCCCAGGGACACAGTACCTCGTCGCGCTCCCAGTTGGCCACATTCGTGTTACAGCACGCATAACATGCACACACATAAAACAAACCGGGTCTCCCGAGATAACAATACCCCTGGCTTTTCTACACCACGTAAACCGGCGTTCTCCAGACGCCAGCAGACACACATTCAGGCGTGTCTTTTCTTCTTGCCTACCAGGAAGACAGGTTTTTACATAGTCCTGTGATTTCTGTTGCTCTGTCGGAGTGAGCAACCCCAAGATGTAGCATGAAGCCGTGCTTCCCTGGGCTTGCAGAAACACTGCCAATCCCTCAGGCTTGCCGATGACTTACGGCTGATTCCATCTTTCTAAATGAGTTAATACAAGGATACAAGAGACTTGCAGAAGAGGGGTGTGTAATGATATTCAAGGTCTGCCTAACGGTTTAAGATCTTTCAGGAAAGTTCCCGAAGTAGGATAACCTGTAAATTAAACTCTTTGGTACACATAGCAGTTGGAATAGCTATATTTACAGTTACAAAAAAGTAATTTCTAATATTAGCTGCAAAAATCTCAAGCATGCCAGAGTATTATTAAGCGAGAGTTATGGTTTTCTACATAGGCGATGTAGACATGATGGAGCCAGGCACTGATGGGTTAGGAAAATTAAATCTAATTACCACAGTGATTGCACCCAGGGTCAGTAGCATCCCAAACCAGCTGTTTCTGTAAGCTGTAAGTTCATGGGGAGATTTCCATTGCCTGGTGCTCTAAAAACAAAATCCGGGCCACTTTGGCCTCTGAGTGATGAAACTGGTTGGAGGCTGGTCTTCCCAACTGAGCTTTTACTAGAAAATCTTTTGTTTCACTAATAGAAGTTCAGGCATTTAAATAAAGCCAAAATCAAAGTAGTTCCTTTAGGCAATCAGTGCTTCAAAGAAGTGTGCACAGAATGGTTTTAGCACAGATGTTCCACACATGGAAGATGGAAAGACTCTGAATTTCTTTCTTGAAAAGATCTTCCCCTAACGAAGAACTGCCACCAGTTTACGAAGAAAGACTGAACATTTTCTCTTCGTGAAGCTATTTAAACTCTGTGGAGAAAGGTTAGGCAAGAAGAAATCTGCTTCTGATTCATAGTTCATTCCTCAGATTATGAGTTTCTTATAAAATTAATTGGAAAAACTAGCTCTTTATGTTTGTATAGTCCTCTGCTGATTACAAACTCCTTTCATAGACTGTTTAATTCTTTTTCCAACAAGTGGTATGATTTTTCCTCATCAGAACAGAGGAAATAGATTGATGAAGAGATCACATAGGTTAAGTAACATGTCCAAGGCAATAAAACTAATAAGCAGAAGAGGCAGACATATTCCTGGAAAAATTGTGTGCAGGTGTGTATGTGTATATATATAAAATACACATACTATATATAATTTATATGTAACATATAATTATGTACTTATAAGTATGCCAGTAAAAATAAGTCATTTTAAGACTATCTTCTACAGAAAGATATGCAAATTAACTGATTTTTATGGTAAAAGTGGGAAACTAGTGGAGTTGATGTTCTACCCATTGAACAAGTTAATATCTGACAAAGGAAATCTCTAATTGTTTGCAATATATTGTTCTTCAAACCCCGTTAAGCCACATACCCAAAGTGGCTAGAACAACTACTTTTTATTAGGAATGGATAAACAATCAGTTTGCTTCTGAACAGTGGCAGCTTTGAACCACATAAAGGATGGCACTTTTATACTAAAAAAGGTTTTTGTGTGATTTCTGAGGATCACTAGTAACATTTGCCACAATCATTATTAATTTTCATTGACTAATACTGTTATGGATGTAAATACCCATAATTACTTTATCCCAATTTCAGAGATGAAAGAACTGAGAGTTACTAAAGTTAAATGATTACCTGGTGTTCCGTAAGTCCTGTTTCCAGTTCATTCTCTGGCACACCAAAGCACGGTGACAAGTCACAGAAGCTAATTAGAGATAGTTAAACAAATGTGGGTGGGGGGGCGTCTTTGCTATCATCACTTGGGCTCTTTTTATGAAATGTGAGTGGAAATTCTGCAGGGCCTCTGGAAAGGCCCGGACGCAGACACCCAGGAGCTACCAGCACTCTGCTTGTACTTCTACTTTTTTCCTCCTCACGCTTCTGCTTGGGTTTTCTCTCTCATCACAACCCCTCCTGTCAGTCAGACCTTCATAGCAGCACCGCTGATGGCTCCTGAGCTTACCTGGTGGAAAGGGAGTGTCTCCCTCTTTTTGCTCCATTTCCAATTTTATGATTGATCTGGCGTTCTGGACGCATCAGCTGGAGCTGGGGCAGGGGGATGCAGCAGGGTCACCTCCACGCTGAGTCCCCTAGCAGTGGGAGCATGTCCTTGTGAGCTGGAAGACCTCCCTAAAAGTGTCCCATTTCACCTAGTCTCTTGTTTAGTAATTTGGTACAGCTGAAGTATCTCATCAGCTTTTAGGTTAGTTCATTATTTTATATGCTTCAGTCAAAATTACTTGTACTTCTCTCCTTTACAGCTTGCAAAATTTCAATTAAAAAAAAAAGAACCTCCTTCATAGACCATTACTAAGGATATTAATTTTGATGAGGGATTTTTCAACTTCCACTAAGTCTCTCTTCAGATGATTAAGAGGCCATCTTCTCCTTATAATGGGGATGCATATAAATAAATAATTACAAGTTCTCTGACTTTCTTTTCAGTAATATACATCTGTATGCAATGATTATCTGGTAAAAACATTTTCATGATCATCAACAATTATTCTTGATTAGAAGAAAAGGTTCACTTTTAAAACCATGCGCCTAATTAAGAACCTTGGCATGAGTGAATGTGCTTCAACCAATCCGAATCTTCCATCTAAAATTTACCTTAAGTGCGTTGCTACCAGAAAAAGTACACATGTTATAATGCCTATTACTTAATATCATGATTTGCACAAGTGAACAGATTTCACTGAGGAATGAATGCCTTATTCCCCCACTCTGCCCTGTATGTATATGTGCACATGAGTGTGCCCCCCCCCTGCAGTGTTTAAGGGGAAAAAAAAAGGTTTAACCACTCTGGGTATTATTGAATTGAAACAAGGAGACAGGAAACCTCAATGGAATTCCCCTTTTGTAAGAGCCATAGACATCTCAATACAAGCTAAAATAAATTCACACAAATTGCATGTGCTTATCCAGGTTTTCTACTCCTGGGAGAGTTTCCAATACTGTATTTAAGATGGGTTGGATCCCAGGATGCATTAAGACATTTTTCTCTTGATCATTATGTTTGACTCATCACTATAGGTAGATTACAATAGCCAGGAGATTTCCAAATGCAATAAATGTACAGCAACACAGTGTTATTGACCTACCGAGGACATTTTAGTATTCTGGGAATTTCAGGGTTGGTAGAGTAGGCTTCAGCTTTTTTTTTTTATTTATTTTTATTTTTTAAAGATTTTATTTATTTATTCATGAGAGAGAGAGAGAGAGAGGCAGAGGGAGAAGCAGGCTCCCAAGGAGCAGGGAGCCCGATGCGGGACTCGATCCCAGGACTCTGGGATCATGACCTGAGCCGAAGGCAGACGCTTAACCATCTGAGCCACCCAGGCACCCAGGCTTCATCTTTTTGCCAAATTCTTTTTACATTTTATTCATGGCTTTGGGGTAGAATCTAAATTTGCCTGATCAGTTATGTACAATCCAAGTTTGGTGGACTGTACTATGGCAATGAAGGCACACGTCCTTGTTCCGAAGAAACAACCCATTAGGAGAGTAAGTATCAGTATATTTTCTTAAATAACTGGTGTAGACCAGAATAAATTGAAAATCCTACACTTGCATCCAGAGGGTAAAATAATTTCTTTCTTTTGCTAATCCATCTCCCAATTATAGAAGCACTTGATGGGAATAGTGGCAGGCTGGAGTAGGAAAAACAATATAATAACATATGTTCAAAAATATTTTGGGACTTTATAGATTTTTGAGAGCATTAAAATTTTACAGATTTTGTCAAAAAGAAGACAAGGACAGAGACAAAGAGATGATTATCCACTGTATTGGTATAAATGTTTTTTTTATGAAGAGACCAGACTTTACCTGGAGCCTTCTTTTCCTCTTTAGGTACCACACTTAAGTACCCTTTTTCTCTTTTTGCCTCTTCTCTTGGGTTTCCCTTGTACTTTGTAAAATACCTGTGGTACTTTAGCTAGACCTCATTGTTTACATATTCTTTTCATCTACTAGATTGGATGTCATTGAATTATTAAAGGTAGAGCATTTGTCTGTTTTGGTCATCATTTTATCTCCTGGTGCTTGAAAGAGTGCTTGGTACCTACATGTATAAATAAGTAGAGATCCAGATAAAGTAAAATGGATTTAGTAGACAGAACCTGGAGATGGCACAGAGACTTAAGACCATGTTTATGAACTGAAGGTCGTAAGACTGGAAAAGGGAAGGTTCAAGTAGGCCATGAGCAGTCTTCAAGTAGTTGAACAGTGCTACGGAAGAAAATTAGACTGGCTTTTACTGTGATGGAAGCTTCAATTACTATCAACTGGTGAAGCCACTGGAAGATATAGGATTTCACTGATTATAAGACACCCATATTCTCACATGTTAACATCTCTGAAATTATGATGCTTCTTACAATTGACACGGTAAGAAAGCATCATGTCATGCTATAATTGGCAGTGTCTTTT